ATGCTTAGCATTCCACAACCTAAATGATCATTTGTTGAACAAATTCATGCTTTTATTAGTCAAAATACAGAGAAAACAGAGCCCCCCTGTTTCAAGATATTTGCTAATGCACGGTTAATTATCACATATAGCTTACTATAATTCATTTTACAGGGAGACCTCCTGCAGGTAACATACTAGCAGTTTATGAAGCAAAATAACCTCACTATAGATTAGAACTGTTTCACTACTGGTCAGACAGTTGCTGCTTCTAGGCCTTCTCACTTCACATTGCTAATTTGAACAAGGCTTTATTTTTATATTTGTCAGCAGCAAGACTGTAGCATGGTTGTTAAACCTCTCCCAGGCCTAATTAGAGTAGCAATGCAAGCATTCATAATGAATCTCGTGTCCTGGGCTGGAGGAGGTAGCCGTGGTGCTACAGTAGCTTCCTGGCAGACAGTTGCTGGCAGGTTTAAGGTAGCTTGTGGCTTGCAATATTAAGTGACTGTTGAAATTCATTGACTCCACTGCGGCTTATGTGTCTAGATGACAACAAGTTTACACGGTTCTTTTATAGTTACAGCAAATGGGTCCATTTAAATATTTATTAGGTGATTATGGTGATGTGAAATGGAAAAAAAATTGCAAAGTACAGTATTGCATGTATAACTGTTTTAACTGTTTGTACAAAATAGGCCTGTGGTATCATTTGAAATTACAGCATCTTTTTTTCCTCATAAATATTTATAGTGTATCAGTAGCTAGGAATGCTAATTTATTTGCATTTTGTTTCTTATTTAATTTGACAGCCATTTGGGTAGCCATTAAAGGCACTCACTCTGATTTGAATGAAGGATATTTCAATCAGCAGTTGAGTGGCATTTTGATTCGAGGGGGTGAAGTTCAATTTTAGAAGTTCTTTTGGCCTTTATGAGACTCAGAAAGGAGTGTTATCTGTGTGTGCTAAGTGACACCCACAGCCTGCTTCTCTGAAACTGCTACTTTTGAGGAATTTGTCATAACTATTGGATTAAATATAGTCATTTTATTTTGTTCGTCTGGCTTAATCAAAGTAAAAAGAACACAAGCACCAGGTATAAATTAACAAAGAGTTCCTGTAAAATATGAGTGTGACCTGGATGATAGAACAAGCTGTTGCGGGCATATAGATCAAGGGATTAATCACATACAGGAGAAAAAGAAATCCAATGTATTGACAGCTTTGTAGCTACTGTTTACTTCTTCGTAACAATAGAAGAGATGGAAGTGAGCCAGTCTCACTGAAGGGCATGAAGGAACATAATAATGATATCCAGAGGTGTCACAACAGATATGTGCATTTGAAATGCTCTCAGTAATAGCACAGAAAATAGGTATAGCGAAGAGAAATCAGGTACAGTACAATAAATTTAGTCTGAATGTCTGTGTGTGTCTGTATCTATATTTAAACTTAAATATAACATGAGAGACTTGCTCTTTGTAATAATTAAGTACACTCCAGCAGTCTCACTAATGATGCTATCACTGAACTTTGCTGTTGTTTAGAAATTTAAATTTGCTGCAAGTGGGTGGCATAACTTTCTATATCTGTATTTTATAAAGAGCAGAAATTAACAGCAGAGAGAACAAATCCAAAGTCATCTCTTGTTAGGGGAAGTGTAAGATGCACATCATTGTCAAGTGGAGGCAGCGAACAGTTGCTGAAGTCATTTAACTACATTTTGGGATAATGAGTAACATGTATCCACAGGTCTGATTTGTGCTTTCCTAATCCTGTGCAAAGACTTTCTTTGATAGATTCCCATTACTTTCAGCAGGCACGGAATACATTCTATTTTGTTGTGGTAAGAAATTAATTGGTCCTGCCCTCTTTGGGTGTTCCATTCCTTTGGTTGTTTTCATTCCTTTGTTCTCCTTTAATGCTTTTCCTTCTTCAGTTCTGCCAGTGTCTCTTATGGCCAAACTTGCTCTTTAAAAAATTGCAAACAATTATTCTGTTTCTCTTGCAAGGGATTGGTATGAATACTGCTTAAATGTATAGATGGAAGGAGCAGAATTACGAATTTAAAATAGAAAATAATGAGTATAATTAAGATTTAGAAGACTTCCATGATTAATATGAGTATACCAAGATTCCTAGAGATCAGCAGTGGACAGGAAAGTATCTTCCTTAGTGGAGCCAATTTTGCCAACTGTACCTGAGGAAAGGAGCTACACAGTCCAGAAATATGGACCCCTACTTGAAATGGAGATAGAGAAGTTTCACACTTTTGAAAGTGAGGCGAGTTACTCTTCCAAATAGGATAAAAAATTTCTGGAAAGTAAAATGGAGACGTGAAGTTGAATTAACTCTGCCTTAGGCCTCCTTTAGACTTTCTGTAATATGTCTAGCGTTGGGGTTTTGTCTACTGTAAAGAGTGAAAGATTGACTGATATTTTGTTATTTCAGTAATACTTATTTCATTATTAGTAGAGAAAAGCAAGACAGCAATTCTATAGGGATATGTTTAATGCCGGCTTTAGTTCAAAGTTGATGCCCTTGCTCCAAGTTGAGAGCACTAGTGACTGATGAATATCTCTACCATACAAGTAGTAAGAATTACTCAGTTGAGAACAGGTTGTTCAGTTTCTGAGAACTTAAAAGCTTAGGTGATTACTTACTGCATTAATAAACTGTCTATATGGGTATATAGACGTTTAGCCTCAGGCTTAAGAAATCTGTGCTTTATTTCTTCACTACCTTTGAGTGAAGTCCCATTAATTCTCAAGATAAGTTAAACTAGCAACACAGATTGAAAGTACATCAGAGTGAAGCCAAGGCTCTGGGAATGGCTGTGTCCTTGTGCACACACAGTAACCCTTGGTCTTCAGGGTTGTCAATGTAATTTTTTTCACAAGCACTAAATTCATTTAAAAGAAGACGAAGGGGGAGAAAAGAACATTCTTTAGCTTTTTGAGTCTGGAACTTCTGTCCTACTGTTTGCTCAGATTTTCCAGTGAGATCACTTCCTGAATGGGGCATAATATAAATAAGTGTTCTGAGAGGCAGGTACAAAACCTACGCATGCAGAAACTGTCCAAATTTGCAGTATCCCACCAGTGACAAAGCTGAATTTGGTTCAAGTTTTCAAATAAACTCAGAAAATTCACATGTGCAGCTTGATTAAGATGAACCTTTATTGAATCTTATGTGTTAAGTTTAATTAGATGTTAAGTTCTAAAATACTATTTAGGTTTTAAGAAACCTTAATGTATATATGCACCAGTAGAATAATTTGGTCTGAACAGAAAAATGACAGAATTTCATTCTAAAAGTACCTGCCAAGCACTTACTTACAAAAACTTTAATGTTTTTTAAAACATTACATGGTTTTACCTCCTTATGAAGTGCTATTGCAAAGACAGATTGCAAAATTCCTGAAGTAGTATGGTTATAATCAGCTACTTTCATAGAAATTAGTGTCCTAGTTATAGACCAGGATTCTGTCCAACCTCAGTGCAAAAGCTATTTATTTCCTCCATAAACATTTTGATGCAAGACTACTTGGAGAAAGAAAAATAAGACAAAACATGAATTAACAGAAAACTGGTGGTTTAGCCAAGGGCTCATATAGTTGTTTCTGCTGTTAGTTCTTAAGAATGAACTTGGAAAGAATGATTTTCTTGCCGCCATCCATTGCTATCTGTGATTGGTTTCCTAACCCCCCTCTCAGTTTTACTTCATTGAGTAACTAGAACTGTTTCTGCAGCAAAATAAAACTATCCTAAATGCAGATGGAGCAAACAGATATTTCTCAAGTATAATAGAAGCAGAAAATTAACTATACAAAAGTTTCTGAAGACCAATTAGAAGCAGCAGAATGGAACTGCTCAAGTAGCAGCTCTTTTCTGTGTAGGCTGTTAGCCGGACTTGAGAAATATCCAGGAACATCCCTGGAATTTTGAAGCTACATATATGCTTTTTTCCCTATTATTAGGCAGTAGTAAGCACTACATTAACCATCCTTTTCACTAGTTGAAGTGATATCCAGGTGTCACTTTCCAGTTTCTGCAATACCTGCACCATCCTGACTCTCAAAGCCCCTGTACTGAAGCAAGCATCGCGCCTCTTGTCTGGCCCTCCCTTGTTTTAAGAACCCTGTTCAATACATGAGTGGGGTTTTTTACATGATCTAATATTTTAGTAATGATACACAACTCCTGCCTGCTGAATGCAGTTTGAGTGTTTGAAGTAGGATCAATGAAGTATTCCCACAGAAACATGAGATTGAACTGAAAAAAATCTGTATGTACCTGAGAGCAGAGCTTAGTGTTTTGGCTTTTCTTCTATTATTAATTCATGTACAGAAGCTCACTCATGTTCAACTTGCTACCTTGAGAAAATGGAAAAATAAACAGATTTGCAGAAAGGCCGTGCTGAAATAATTGGTTGGTGTCCATAATGATCCATGAATATCTGAAGCAAGGCTTGTAGAGGAGACAGTAACTTTTGTTAGCTGGAATTATATTTCAGACAAAGGAGAAAATCTAGAGAAGAAAACCCTGCAGAAGACCATATGGACACAGTAGGGCTTTCAGCTTCTGATTTGGGGAATAATAAAGGGGAGAGAGAATGAGCAGATTTAACTAAGTAAATACAATAATTAAAAGGAGTGCTGGAACACGTGGGCTAAATTAAGCCTTCATATACAGTTTCACCTTAAAAATCTCTGAAATCAAATACCTGAAGTGTGTGTGGGTGTGTTGTATGTGCAGCTAATACATGGCTGACTGTTCACCCAGTGCTGAAGCTTTCTCTACCTCTGATTTCTGCCACAGCTTCGTGACATCTTTGCTCAGGATACTTTAAGAGATTTCTGCAGTTGAAGCAGTTGAAGTTATTTTATATATTTCCAGAACTGTTAGGGTCCATTATTATAATCCCTATATATTAATTTTAGTAATACTGCAAGGTGGAGATGTACTGTTTCCCCTACTGAATTCATACAAGGTTCTTGTTCCAAGATGTATATTATAATCTGCCTCTGAGTACAAACTAGCTCTCTCACCACTGAGCCCTTCTTCTACTGACACTCCGTGTTGTGATCCACACAGATGAAAGGAACTGAGGGGTGGGAGGGCTGCAAAAAAACATTCAGGCTTGAGAGAACAGACAAAATAAAGCTTCTTTCCCAGTAACAAGACAAATAATTTCAGACAATCGGTAGTACAACAAACTATATTCTACCTCTGTGCATGACCACTGGGAAATAGAAATCCATTTTTCAGTTGAATGAAAAATAGGAGGTCCAAGTGTCAAGATCTTAGCACTAGGACAAGTTGGAAACTTTCCAGTGGAACATTTTTCTCTCAGCTAATGCTGGTTCACCAAAACCTAACGCGTTGCATGAAAATGTCTATTCCAATGAAATTTTTGATGGAAATGTGTTTGGTTTCCTGCCAGCTCACCCGCTTTTCCCAGCTCTCAGCTCCCCGGCATCTCACGTGGAATGGTGCCAGAAAGTCAAGTTTCTTCACGTTCTTGGCCTGTTTGGCAGACTGCCACAAAGGATGGGAGTCTGGGCTCACGAAAGTGGACAAGAAACCTTATACATGCACATACGACCATACACATACTCTCACAGGTCATTTAAATCCATGTCAGTTCATTCAAAGTAGAGGGTTTTTTACATAGAGGGTCTTTTAAATATGACCCTCCTATGGAAAATTTCTCATGTAGGAATTTTAATTCCAAGTTGCAACTGAAAAATAGTGGGGAAGATGAAGAATTTTCCTTATGAGGAAAATACTGGTTCCTGTGCAGATGTATGTTGCACTATTGTCATTGAGGCTATCAAGAGCTCCATCTGCTTCTCTTTTCCATTCCATAAGGTCTATATTTGTAACAGGTAAGGTGTTTACACACTTACCCTTAACAAAAGAAGATGATATTTTTAGAGTTTTGTAAATATTTGTTTTAAAAAGTCCTCTTGAGACACATAGGGCAGACAATCTTTTCTTGGTCACTAAGTTTTAGTCTGTGGACTGAGGGGATAGAGAGTTTCAATGTTTTTGGCTGAATAATAAACAGAAAATAGGCACATATACTGAAATCCTGACTGAGAGGTCCCTGAAGCAGGAGCTCTGTAATGTACTTTTCCATAGCTTCACTTCATGCACTGCAAGCTGCTCAGTCGCTTATTATATGTAAGTAAATAAATAAACTTCAATCACACTGTGTTAGGTAATTTCTGACTGGGGGGATGTGTTCACATTGGAGACAAAAAGCAGTTGATTCAAGTAGCCAATAATGAATTCCTTTTCTGATTATTCTTAATACCTTGGATTAGCATAACAAAGTCAAACTCTTTAGGAGATCAGTACTTGAAGCAGTTAATTTTTCAATGGAGCTTTTGAGAAGCTGGGGTTTATAGTACTAGATAAAGTTCTTACTATTTCTTACTTACCAAGAAAGGTTCCTGACCAGAACTCCACTTCTGTGTAAATTGGTGGTGTGATATTAAGCCTGAGCCTCACAACCAGCCTGTCAAAAATATGTTGCTTTTGGAATAATAGGAAAATATCAAATGCCCTGTAGAAGATAACTAAAATTTCTGTTTTACAATAGAAAGAACATCTTTGTTATTCAAGATAAGGGGAAAAACATTATATTTTTTTTTTTTTCTGGGGCACAACGTGTGGTAGAGCAGGAGGCTGCATTGATGCTGCCCCTGGCTCTTTCATAAAACTGTAATGTGATCTGAAATTGCTCTCAATGTCTTCACATTCTCAAGTGATAAAATGGGAATGATCAGCAAAATACTTCTGTATTAATGATAGCATTATGTACATAAATACTTGCAGCAGGCTTACATAAAATGCAGTTAGAGTCACTAAGCATTAATTTAGGGTGTTGAAGATTTTTATTATGCTGGGAGCTAACTTTGAATGTACTAAATGTACATGGGCTTGCCCTTTTGTTGTGATAGTGCTGAAGAAGGCTCTGTGGATTGCAAGCAGCAGAAGAAAGTAAGAATTTATTGACAGAAAAAAATCTGCCAATTTCAGAATTGTCCTAAAAGCTGTTGTCTTCCTCACTGTGGCTGCACAGAATGGCATGATCCTTCACTTGCATTTACCTTGACATCATCAGTCTATCCATGAGGAGGAGGAAATAGGATGGCGTGTATACAAACACAAACAGCAGGATTGAGCAATTCAAATCAATCCTGTGAAAAGAAATTAAGAAATAAAATCACAAACTTTTAAATTGGTTTGCTATTAATTGTTCCTTGCTAAAAATAATGCAACAGAAACGTGCATGTTACCAGCTGCTTTCTAATGTCCCTAAATTGAACTCCCTGTTGCCCTCTTGAATCTCCTAATCTTTCTGTAAAGGAGAGCAGAAGGGCCTCTCTACAAAGCAATCTTGACTGCTTTATTTGACTCATTGGGGTGAGAGGAAGAAGGGGGGGGGGGGGTGCAAGGCGTATCATGCTGCAAATACAATTCAACATGTGCAATGAAGTGACAGCTGAATTCTTCAGGTCTTTATGTCAAAGAATCAGTGCTGGACTGTGGTGTGTAAGCAAAGACATACTGTTATCTGACTTAGTGTTCTCTAAGAGCAGAAGTCTGACCAAGGGGAAAAAATACCAACTCAGCCCTCTGGAAAATAGAGGAACACTGGCACTGACCTTCCACAGCAACTTCCTTGCTTGAAGTGAAGCTCTGCTCTTTACTTGCTGTAAGCCTGAACTAGGTCTGACCTCTCTTCACTGTTGCAGGCACTCGCAGCTGCTCTCTGGTGGAATGAAAAAAATCTGATTTCCATACAGAAGTGCATCATCTGAGATCCTGAACTTTTGCCTGTTCATCTTGACATAATGTACCATATTTTTCTGATTGTTCTCTGGATTTGTTAAGGGACTCAGATAAGTCCATGCTTGAAAATTTGGATCTGGATCCAAGCCTTTGACCATTTCTACCCCATAATCTTAAGGTATTGGAACAGATAATTCCATAGGAAAAAATACACTCACTGTATTTTGAGATGGCATTTTTGGTGTCACCTGAAAGAGACAGTGGGATATGATTGTGTTGTGTAATGCATGTTGTGCATAATGAGGCTGATGTTCTTAATGCAAACAAATGGAAAACAAAAATGCAAACAAAAAGTTTGCATGAAGAGGGTAGACTCAAGGTGTTTCTGTTCCCAACATACTGACCTCCATGACAATTTCTATAAGCTCTTCCTGCTGTAGGACCTCGGACATTCAGTGAAACCACCCATATCCAAAATACACATCCAGGTACATTCATTAAACCCAGGGATGGACAAAGATAACAAGCAGGGATTCCTAACTCCATATGCTGAATTGGACTGAGACCAACTGACCTCTGCAGAATGTAGAATTCTCCAATATTTGTGGGTTCAGGAACATGGCCAGTGCAGTGCTGGGCCTGGGGCACAAGAGGCAGCAGGGGAGAGCCACAGAGCACAGAGCTAAAAAGTCAGGCTTGGGTTTTTACAGGAAGTAAAGGCATCTCTCTTCCATAGTCAGACATGAGTACCTATTGAAAGCTTATATTTCTTGCTATTAGTCTCTCTCCACTTGATGTAGTAAATTGGATCTGGTTTCTTGGTCAAGATAGATCAAGATTTCTGTAATCAGCTACCTTGATCCCAAAAGCTGATTACAATAACTAAATTAAACTGATGCAGTGGTCTGTTGTCCCATCAGATGGCACAGATGAGTTCTACAGTCTCCTTGGAGTCATCCAGATCAACTATTAATAGCTGGATTTAATGTAAGAATTCTGAGGCAGTTCAGTGTTTCTTTGGTATAAGATATTCTGGAGGGTTGGCTTTATTTCATCCTGAAATTGTTGTGCTGTTTGCGGTACTTAAGAGACAGACTCCAAACGAAGCAGCCATTCCTAACCTATGCAGACAAAGGGAGTGGTTCCCTTAGCAACAGGAACCATGTGGAGGTTCTCAGAGAGCTCTCTTTTCCCCCTACTCGTGTTTTCTTTTAACTCAACATTTTGCACAGCATCTTGCATGGAGACTCCGACAGCTGGGCTGGAGGCAAACGGTTCTTCCGGCTCTGGCTAACCAGTGCTCCAAAGGCAATTGTTCTGCACTCATCAGACAGCAAAATGATAAGCATGGGTAAGTGAACTGGCACAGGATCAGAGTTCACGCTGAGGAGGGGGAAAGTTTACTGGCTGGCAACCAGAAGTGTCCAGCACTTCCCAGTAGGCATGTATATTTGAAACAGGGGTACTAGTGTGATGATTACCTTGGTTATTGCTAGGATTGTTTGTCTGCATTTAGAATTTCAGGGTTTGGAAACATTAGCACAACTGTGTTTTAGTCCTTAGTGTGTTACTGACTTCCTCTATATCCCTGAACATCTCACCTCTCTGCTTTCCTTCCTCATCCACTAAATGGAGATGATATGCCATAAGGATCTTGAAAGGACTGTAAAATACTGAAGAAATATACCATATTGCTTGTCAAAATTATATTTCTTTTTGAAGTTAATGATAAGGTGTGCAGAATCTGAGATAAAGTATTGCTCTTTTATTGAAGATTTAACTCAATTAACTTTTTGGTAGATCTAGTTGGTTTTCTTTATGGTATGGAAGAGATGTGTGCATGTAGTGTCTGTACAAATATATGTATATGCATAAAAAATTGTGTATGCTGATGCATAAATAACAGAAATAGAGCAGTTTATTTCCCTCAAAATAGCTGTAGCATTGGTAAAGTAGCAGCTGTGTTTCAGTGAAACCCAGCATACTACAGAATAATGAAATTTAATCTTTGTATGTCTTGAAATAAACACTTGCTCTGCTGTCCCTAAAGTATTGTGTATTACCAGAGCTCTTGCCAGTCTCAGCTGGAAAAGCTTAATGCATAAACTCCATAAGTTTGTAGTCATTTACCTAAAAAGAGACATGGGGATTAATCCAATTTAAAGTCAGTTATTTTGTGGAGGACTTGCATAAGGGATGAATTTGTCCCTAAGTTATTCCTAATTTAATGTACAAAGTTCCTTGGGTCACAATTTTTCATCATATTTGAATTAAAATTCAGGCACTCAAGTTCATATCGTGACAAAGAGTGCTGCATACTGATCATTTGTATGCAGGCTTCCTTTTATTCCACATTTAGAGGCACGTCTCATAATGTCGCAGTGAAATGCATTTACCATTACAGGCAACTTAGTTGCTCTTATTTCAAATGTGATTACTGCAGGAAAAAACAGTCATTGGTAACTGCATGCACAGAGCAGCTGCAGAAGTGTCATGCAGGGGCTGTCCACAGTCATATCGCTAATGTACTGTCATTACTCTTCCTATTCTTTGTGCAGCACTAACCTTCTGCATGTCACTTGCTATGTGCTTGTACAGCACCCAGTACCACTGAGCTTTCCCTACATGACCACCCGTTCAGTCAGAATACTCCCTTTTGGTAGTAACTGACAATTTGTCTCTTGGCTCCGATTCAAAATGAGAAAAATTGCCCTGTTTGCACCTTTCTGAATAATGGTCTCTGTCTGAACAAAGACAAATGCAATACTGTAATGTAATTGAAATAAATTGTACCCCTTTTCTCTCTGTGGTTATATTTCCCTCCTTTTATGCCCTATTTCAAACAATACTACTGCATGAGCCAGTGATAGTAGCTAAGGTACAGGATTAAAATATTTTATATTTAGTAGGTAGTGTCTGAATTCCTAATTACAGCTCAGTTTGTTGTAGTTTGTAATATTTGAAGAAATCCTGTGCATAGAAGGGGCTCAGCAAAGGTTTTAAGTAATTGCAGATTGATCTTCTTTATTACTCCCCTTTCCCCATTTGGTGTCTAGCTCCGAGGTTTCCTTCGTTCGACATTGACCCTCTCTTTTTGGGCAGAGTTTATTTTCTTTCAGATGAACAAAATCATCAGTCCTTTTACCAGGCCTGCTGGTAGAGACTTGGTATGAGTAAATCACTGAGAACCACTTTGAGTTACTTCAGATTTAATAAGTTTGAGTTGTTATTAGCAGTAGTTACACTGTGCTATTCATGAAGCACTTGAAGCATACTGCAAAAGGAAATGAAGCCTCCTCTGAAATCTGGAGACAAGGAAGTAACACTGAGAGATTGCTTAATCCATAAATTGAGTAAAGAACAAGAATTCTAATCATCTTCAGAAACAAAGAACAGGAAGCAAAGATCTAATGTAGAAGGAGTGGATTAGGCTGATACCAATACCTATTTCAATCTCTTTCTGCTTTACGTATAGGCCACACAAACAGACTAAGCTGAAACGGAAGAAAAGGTGGATGTTAGTCTTAAAGGTTAAAGAAATGAATGACGATTGACTTTTAGGAAGAATTATGAGAAGCTTATTTATGTGGCTGGCAGCCAAAAAGCTGGAGAAGTTTCGTGCTTTTAGCAAGAAGGATAATCTCATCCAGGTCAAATTTCTGGATCTTACCATTTTTATGTACTATATGATTTTTCAATACCAAGTCAAAGGCAAGGCTTGTAATGGGAGTAATTCTTTTTTCAGTCTGGTTTATTCATTAGAAGATCAGCAGGTAAAACTCCTCCAAGATACCTCTGGCTACAAAGCAAACCATATATTAGTTTATGCATGGTTCATGGCTTTTTCTCTTGTAGCCCTGAAAGGAGGACTGGTGTGATAGTTTGGTGTGATACTGCCCCTAGCAACCTGTTATCACGCATCTGATCCAGTGCTAATACATTACTATTGCATGAAGGGCATCCTCTTTTTTAAAGACTTTTCGACATCTTTTGTGGGAAAAGCCAGAAAATCTGGGAACTGTGAATGGCTCTTATGCAGCAGTTTCCAGTCCTGGAACTGGTCTGGCATTTTCAGAGAGCCTAAAGGACTTAAGAAGCCAGGATTAATGACCTTATACAGTCTGAAACTGCTGTTCAGCAAAGTAGATTCTATGTGATTCTATGAATCTCTCTCTACTCTTTCAGCACCATTATGAAAAAGCACATAAATGTGCATGTGGAGTCTACCATAGAGAAGCTATTTTGAATTATAATAAATGTATTCATGGGATTATCCTTCAGACTCTAGTCTATTGCCTGGAACAGTTGTAAGAAACACTAAATGACATGTTCTTCAAAATATACAGTAACCGTGGTTTATTATGTCGTTTCTCTCTCTCTTGAAATATTTCTCTTTGAACTAAAAAAGGCAAAAATAAGACCTGAAAAAAGTCCTTTGCTGAACCTGTAGCCTGCCCTTGTGTCATCTTCAAGCCTGTATAAGGATCATCTCCTGTATGATTCAGATTAGGTTTTTCTGTAGAAGTAAATTTTGAGAGTTTGGAATGTATTTTGTAGGAAAGTCTGAAAGTTCAGTATGAACTTAAAGTTGATGCCTAAACTTGCCTTCCTCAGAAACATACCAGAAATGCATATACAACAGCTCTGAGTTCAGGGTTAGTTTTTTGCTTTAAGGTAGTCGGTGAGCTGAGAAAGAAATCTGCAGAGGGATCCTAAAACACCCTTTCTAAAATCTTTTAAGGCTAATGTCTCCTTTTCCTTTTGCATCCTGACAATGCTGAAATTAATGATCTTTGGATTTAGATTTCACATGGAGTCAAGCTGAGAAGATGTACCTGAATCCAAGTTTCTTCTAAATACAAAGTTGCTGCAGCTTTTGTTCAGAGCTAATCCTTGTGTGAATCATATGGCAACGCTCAGCATGCCTGGTCTCCTGAAGATGTTCCTTTGAGGTCAACAATTGTCTCAAGCAAATATTTGCCACTTCATAAATCTCTGCTTGTATAGGCTGGGTTCTATAGTCTCTTTTTGGGGCAGTACAAGATTATACAATAGCTATCATGCATCACCAGGGAAGCAACAAATTATTTTGGAAAAGGAGAGTAAGATATTCAGACTGGAACACAATGTTTTTTTTGTGGCCAAACAAAGTTAAAGATCAGTCAGAATGTCACTTAAAATACATAGGAGTTTCAGGTCCAACATCTGAATGACTAAAATAATCCATTGTGGAAACTGATGTATGCAGTCAGTGCACTTCTGAAAAGGAAAAAAGGTTGAAATATTTCACTGAATGTATGATTACAGTGGTTGGGAAGTTTCTGTAATAATATTTAAAATTATGAATGTATTTCAAAAATCATTAGAATGAAGTGTACCAAATCTGTTCAGAAGTTAACGTCGAGTTAGAATTGCCGTTTAGCCATTTGTGCGTCTTGAAAAGTGTATTTATCACTGGGCATTTTACATATGGAAAATTTGATCTATGATCATTGCAAAAGGATATGGAAAAGAACTGGCCATTTTTACTGGATTCTGTCTGTGTGACAATACTTTTTGGCTCACAAGTGAAGGTAATCATTCAATTGTAATTTAATATATAGCCAGAAAGTTATTCTTTAAAAATAATCAACATAGCATTTTACTTTGTTTGACTTGGGGTTTAAACCAGATGATGGTTTTTAGGCGCTTTTGAAAACCAAATGGGCTGATACATTATAAAATACCTCACATCTAATTAGTTAATGTTGATTATTTTAGAAGTGTCTTCCATTGTGTCATTCCTTCTGCACAACCTGATTGATTGATTGGGTTTTGCTGCAGTGCTGTGTACAAAGAACCTCTGACATCATTGAGCAGTGA